AATGAGTTGGTAATCACGTTTTGAAGAATTAAATTATTTTCATCCCATAAAGATCGAATGTTGGAAAATCTATACTTCAAGACGTCCTTAAAATACTTTTGAAGGTAATTAATTATGGCTTCTTGCAGAGCAGCCTCTTGGGTAATTCCAGGCGGAGGACCATAAATGAAAAAACAAATTGATGGAGCCCGATGATTATTTGTCTGTGAATGCGGCATGCCAACTAAAGTCGACGAAGATGGAATGACAGAGACTCCTTGATTGATCTCTGAAATGTTAGCTCTCACACTCCCTGAATTCACTTCATCTTCAATATTAAAATTATCCATGATAAGTACCGAAATATCTCCATTGATGATGCACGGATATTTGCAAGGAGGGACATGAAAATCATGAATATCATATATTCATTGAAGTGCACCGATTCGCCCATCATTCTCACCAGTCTGATCTTGCAAAAGGTTTGGATTCATAGAGAAATTTAGTTCTTCATGGATACTCGGAAAACCTACAAAAAATGAAGTATGATTTAAAAAAAGGGTAATAAAAGAAAAGAAAAGAAACGATTGCAGCAAACGAAAACATGGAATATACCTGCATTTCTTGTCCTAGGTGACATGTCTAAAAATTCACCGTCTAATGGTGTGTTCGGGAGGCTGATGTTAATATGAGAAGCTCCAACTTCGTCTTTTGAAGGACTGGAAATAGCTTGAAGTGGCCTCGGTTCTTTCGGTCGTTTGATTTTGTATATTCGAGAAAGAGGAGCCTGAAATTGAAGATTGTGACAGAAAATGAAAAACAATAGTACTTTAAAAAAAGAACTATACCTGATCTCTAGAACTTTCGTCTTCTAGAGTTAAAGTTTTTCTTGGTGCTTGTGATGCTCGATCTCTAGGACTACTGTGATTTGGAATCAAAATCTCATCTAGCACCTTATCAGCAAGCTCAGAGGTAGCAGCAATCTTTGCTGGGGGAACTATAATTTTAATGCTCTTAATACCTCTTTCATTTTGCTAGTTTGGATCCCTCTTTCGTAAAACCTCTTCATGAGCAACATTTGGAGGGTCTAATCCTCTAGCTATAACCCTGTTATGTGTCGAGCCAAGAATAAAGTCACGACTCTCACTAGAAAATAAGACTTGTACCTGGACCCTGGTCAAGAGTGGCAACACTTCACTATTCCACCAAGCTTTGTATTCAACATCAACATTTTGATGTATATCCCTCACACACTCTGGAATATGAAATACAGACCCACTTTTCGTCCGAGTCAAAAACAACCAAATTCGATATATGTCGCCTACATTGGGGGCAATGCCCAACTTTCTTGGTGAGCCAGAAAGTTTATGTCTAAAGTCGAGCTGTCTCGCAAACTTGTGAGGATTATAAGCCTCAAGAATGAAATGTGAATTTCCTCGACAATAAGAAATAAATCTAGATTGAATACTCATCATAAATTCTGAAGTATTTGCAGACCTCAGTTGGTCATCCACAAGTACATCAAGATGAGACGATGAGGATAACAGATTCTAGCAAAAGTCATTGGTGTCCATCGTTCTACGGATAATATTCCGACAATCAAAAATATTTTTCTCCCAAGACTGAAAATCATTCAGAGTGCCAGCATATCTTCGAATTATAGGACGAGAATAGCTCTTGTTCACATGAGCATAAACACCTTGGACATAATAAGTTGCCGTCCAAGCATAAAGAAAATGTCCAGGAAATGATTGTAAAATTGAGCCAAGGTATGAGTTTTTTTGATAGTTAGATGTTCGTGTAAGTCCTGTATAAATGCTTGCTAATATGGGTAGAACCAAGCTATAAGTATACTTGCTTGCCATCCTAAAAGATGCTTTAAAAGTTCCAACTGTTATACATTTATCCCCAGATAGAAGAACGAAACGACAAAGCCATAGGGAGAGATAAGCTGCTATCTCCAATTCTTCTTCTTCTTCTTCTTCTTCTTCTATAGACAGAGATACTGGCAGTTTGCTCCAATGACGTCGATCTCTACAAGTAATGTCTCTCGGTTTGTCAGACTCCACGAGCCTCTGTATTTCCTTCGATGCTCTTTGATGACGTCTCTTGAATGATTTAAATTCATAACATTCTTATAATTTTTGTGTTGTCGAGGATTTTGGACACAATCATTCTCGTGAAACCAAAAATTAATTCATTCTTCGTGAATAACCCTGTCAGATTCATTCGCATGGACAATTAATGCTAATATATTAAAGAGGTACAGACAAGACTTGGGAAGATGATCCATCAACTCTGAAAGGCTTGAGACTATTTTCTCATAGTAATAACCCATGATCGAAAGTCTACTTATCTCGCGGATGTCTCAAAGAGAAATGCCAATTTCACCATTGGCAGTCACAAAGGTATTGGTCTCTGAACACCAAACCTCACAAGAGCTCTATAAATAGAGTTTGGGCAATGATAATCTTTTGTAGCAGAACTGACTGCAAAAGCTAACTCGCAAAGATTCCTTTTGAGTAGAAGTTTTTGGACCCATAAAGACCACTCCCAAAATTTTGGAAGAAAAGAAATCTCTCCTCAACTGACTAGTGCGCTTCCTCATCGTATTTCTCTATTTTCAATTCTCTCACAAATTACAGCCTTTGGGATGCACTCCATGCTTTGAGAATGATGAGGTGGAAGACACAGAAAGGTAAGATGACTGCTACAACGGTTGGACTTGCTGACATCCAAATTCTCAAGAAATTCACTAATGTTGGACATATGCAACTCCGACAAGGGCTCCAGAAGATCAGGGAAAGGATTTGTAGTTGGCTTATGGACACTAAATTTAAGTTCACTCCATACGCCAGTCTGAGCATGGTACTTCACATCAGTATCTTTGAAATGCAGATAATTTTTTCCTTGATTTTTAAACTCAACAATTTCGTGTATGTCAAAGTACACTTTATCATTCATTACAACTTATTCTAGCTATGCCTGCAAAAAAAAAAAAAAAAAAAGAGAGAAAGGGAGGTAAATCTCTTAAATTGGTTTATCGTCTAAAATCAAGAGTCTCCCAAATATGTAAGCAGCCTCTACAAAAAGTGTTTTGGACAGTCGAAGTAACAGGTCCTTGGTCCCAAACAAGAAGTACCTTGGACTGTCGTAGGAACGGTCATTGGTCCTCAACACAAAGTTTCTTGGACAGTTGAAGGAATAGGTCCTTCGTCTTTAACACAAAGTGCTTTGGACAATAGAAGGAGCCAATCCTTGGTCCTTAACACAAAGTGCCTTGGATGGTTGAAAGAACGGGTCCTTGGTCCCAAACATGAAGTGACTTGGACGGTCGAAAGAACATGTCCTTGGTCTTCAACACAAAATGCCTTGAACGATTGAAGGAGCAGGTCCTTGGTTTTAAACACGAAGTGTCTTGGACGATCGAAGGAACAGGTCATTGGTCCTCAACACAAAATGCCTTGAATGGTCGAAGGAGCAAGTCCTTGGTCTCAAACATGAAGTGCCTTGAACGGTCGAAGAAGTAGGTCCTTGGTCTCTAACAAAAAGTGCATTAGATGGTGAAAAGTGACAGTCTTTAGTCCTCAATGTGTATAAAGGTTTGCAATTTTAAATTTATTCATAAGCATATATTTCCTGAACTCATAAAATAATTGCAAAAAAAAAAAAAAAATTTAACATCTACACAAAGAAAACTTTGAACCTCAAAATCCTTGATTCGCTCCAAAAAGGTTGAATCCCTGCAGTGTAAAAAAAAAAAAGAAAAAAGAAAAAGTTAGTTTCAACTTTGTTCAAACAAAAATACAAAAACAATAACAATAATAGTAATCAACCAAAAAATAAATAAATAAATAAAGGAAAAGAAAAAAAAAACAAAACATGAGAAAAAAGGGGGGAGGGGCTTACGTGTAATATATATATATATATATATATATATAATGTTAAGGTTTCTGCCAAACAGAAACCAAAGTGCCCACAATTTGGTCACTTTTGGTTTCCGCCGCCCAGATGACGGAAACCAAGAAACGTATTAATAATAATAATAATAATAATAATAATAATAATAATAATAATAATAAT